GCTACCCAGCCCCTTTGGGGGGGGGGGGTTGGGGAGAACCCAACCCTGGCCAGGGCCCTGCGAAATTCCTTTTTTTGGGTGAAGGCCGTTAGGTTTTTTCTTTTTTTTTTTTTTTTTTGGGGGACTTAAACGGTGTTTTTACCTTTTTTTTTTTTTGGGGTTGTTAAACCAAAGCTGGGGGGGGTTACCACTTACGGTTTTTTTTTGCTTTTGGCGTTTGGGTTGATGCTTTGGGGGTGCGACTTCCCCAAGGATATTTTGCGGTAAAGGCTGCTTCCATTTTGCTGATTAAACTAAAGCGGGGAAAATCCACTTTTCTTTCCTTCCCAGGGTGTTTTTTTGAAATGTTTTTTTTCCCCCGGGGGGAGTTAAAGCGGTTACCATCCACTTTTCCTTCCCTTTTTCCCCCCCCACCCAGGCTTCGCTGGAGCCAAAAAAGCCCCCCAAGCCACCGCGACAATACCCTCCAAGTTCCAAGCGGTCCCCTTGGGGAGGTCCAAGACGGACCCCCTTAAGGTCGCGGGGGGGGGGGGGGGGGGAGCGTACTCTTATGCTTTGCATATCTTAGCGGTTAGACCATTGACCTCGTGTCCTCGAGAGGACGGAGCATTGTTCCCACAGCACCGATCACCGATGGCCGATATTTTTTTTCTATTTTGCCGAAGAAAGGTGGCTCAACGGTTGGGGGGTGGGGGGTTGGTAGAGATGAATAGTATTGTGTTAGCATCGACAGGGGCGACGGTCTCATCAAAGACGCCACAGCAGTCTTGTACACAGAGGGAAGGACCAAAAGCGGCTGCGCGTTGTAGTCCACCCCCCCCCTCGTGAGTTGTCGTTTGGTGTGTGTTTGGATGTTTCTTTTGTTTCGTCGACGTGGGCTGCGTGCTAACCACAGTGTAGAAGAGTAGTCTCACGGATGACGTGCGTTAGCGAGGAATGGCGGGTGTGCCTGCATCACTGGGGCCACCGCCAATGTTGTCGCAAGGAGAACGTCGTTGCGACACAACACCGCATCGGACCTGTGGGTTGTGGCTGTTTTCTGCCCCCCGGTTTGTTTGCTGTGGGGGACCCGGGAGGTTTGGTCTCGGAGCAACCAACCAAAACGCATCGTCGTGATTTTCTTCTCGAGGGATTCGGTCGATTCGCTCACGTCGGTGTTGAATATTGATTGTGAGACGCTTTTGTTGGTTTTGGTCGGCTCTTGAGAGCGGTTGGCTGCTTTTCCAGACCTCTTTTTACCGCCAGCCCCATTGTTGCCACCACCGTCCGACACCGATACAATCTCGCCCCCTTGTTTATGTCCTTGCGTGCATGCTTTTGCGAAACGTAGGATGCCAAGCGCAGGCTTGAAGACGGTGGTCAGCGCGGCGGTGCCAAGTGGGGCGGGGGCGAAGAGGGGAAGGGGGAGGAGAAGGGAGGTGCCGCAGAAGACGCCAACAAGTGAGTCACATTGTCGTCACATCGTCGTCACACACGACCCCACCACGAAGACGGAAGTATTATAGTAGGAGGGGAGGGGGCCCCACACCACACCACGAAGACGGAAGTATTATACAAGTAGAGGAGCGGAGGGGGCCCCGTATGATAAGAGGGGGACCCGTAGTATAATAGTAGAGTAGGAGGGTTCCGCAGGTTTAGGAGGGGAGGCGTGTGGTAGGAGGGGGGGCCCGTAGTATGAGGGGGACCCGTAGTAGGAGGGTGGTCCGTAGTAGCATGAGGGGGCGCAGTGGGAGGGACCCCGTAGGATGGTTTACCGACCGGCGGTGTTGGTGAGATTTGTTTCTATCTGTAATATTGCTGCCCCCAGGGGGGTCGTTGCGTCACCTTTTCTGCCGGAGGGGAACCTAAAATACCACGGCCCCCTGGGTCGACTTGTCAAAGCTTGATTTGCCGCCACAGCAAAGGGGAGTGGCGGAAAAACGGCGGCGTTGGAACCGT